CTATTTCACCCCGGGTCTATTTCATCCCCGAGTCTATTTGAACTCATATGTCAGCACAAGGCTGTACCGGGTCTATTTCAACCCCGGGTCTATTTTATACCCGAGTCTATTTCAACTCACATGTCAGCACAAGGTTGTACCGGGTCTATTTCACCGCTGGGTTTATTTCACCCTACATATATATAGCAAACAGGCACACAGGAAAACAACACATAAATCAAGAGCCACAAAGACTACAAGCACATACAATCCCTAGTGTCCTACAGTATAGTGAGAAAACTTACCTCAGTTTGCTGTTAGTCAAATACATGCTCGGGTTGTTGAACCGGAGAATCCACGCACTAACCAACCAAATAAAACCCTAATTAATAATTGGGTCATAAACCATAATCGGGACTTTAATCAACTAATCCTGACCCCAGGCTAAAAGACCAGTTTACCCTTCCCTCAATTGGCCCTAATGCCAAGGCCCCCACTCAATGGCACAAAAGCCCAAATAATGGCCCAATTCCTAAAGGACACCTAAAGCCCAACACGGGCCCAAATCCAAGAAGGCCAAAGCCCTAACAATGACCCATCATTAGAAAGACTTGTGGCCCAACAAAGGCCCAACACCCTAAAGCCCAAAGGAGGCCCAAAAGTCAAAAGTCCCCCTACTCGCGAACACTAAGCGTTCCCCTAGTACGCCCGATGTACTAGGTGGCTACACCGAGTCGGGGATCCAAACGCGTACGCACAACGTATGCACTCAAACGCCCGACGTACGCTGCCTTCAGCTCTTTTCATCCATTAAGTCCTTAATGCTTAAGACTAAACGTCTAAATTTCAGATCCAAGCCTTGGGTAACGTCTTAATCCATAAAGTCACTAATTTGGAGCCTTTTCATGGCTCAAATGAACTCAAACCCTAGATTTAGCATCATACTTTCACCAAATGGATATAAACTCATGCATGGTTGATCCTCAACCATCAAGATGCTAACTTTATGGACTAAGGATCTAAGAAACATCAAGAGGAGCAACTCATAACTTGTAGAGTGGTAAAATTCCACTAGATCTCATTCATAGGACCAAAAAGTGACCAAAACTCCATAACAACTAGATCTAAGCATAGAATGAGCAAGGTCAAAGCTTTGTACCTCAATGAAGCTGAAAATGATAAATGGAATCTAGATCTACAAATTCCTCCTTGTTCAAGGCTCCTTCCCCAAGCTTCTTCTTCTTGAAGTTACATAAAACACACACCAAAACACACACAAATGTTAACTCTCTCATGAAATAAGCTAGGGTTTCAAAATGGGGCTCAAAAGGGCAATAAAGGTTGGGAAATGAGAGAACCTTTGGACATAAACTTTCTTAAATAGGGTCCAAACCCTAACATTAGGGTTTGTCCCCTGATTGCGTACGCCCAACGTACACAACTCCTCCCAAAATTACAACAATGCCCCCTAAGGACCAAAATTGCAAACTAATTACACACCAAGGGTCCGAAATGAAAAATACCTTGAATAGGGTGTTACAGTTCTCCCTCGCTTGAATTAGACTTTGTCCTCGAAGTTCAATGCCGCAAATATCTCTAGGTAATGCTCCCTCATCCTGTCATCGGGCTCCCACGTCCACTCTAAACCCTTTCGGTGCCGCCACCACACCTTCACAAGATCCACCACCTTGTTTTGCAGAGTCTTCATCCTCCTGTCAAGGATCGACACTGGCCTCTTTATATAATTTAGGCGCCCATCTACCTGAATGTCCTCGAATGGAACCACTGCGGAATCATCCACCAAACATTTCCGCAACCGAGAGGCATGAAAAGTTTTATGGATCTGACTGAGCTTCGATGGCATGTCCAAACAATACACAACCTCGCCCACCCGGACTACTACCCTGAAAGGACCAATACCTGGGGTACAGCTTGCCTCGCTTCCTAAATCGGATGACATCTTTCCAAGATGACACCTTCAGGAGCACCATGTCCCCAACCTGGAACTCCAAGTCTGACCGGTGTCTATCTGCGTAACTTTTCCTGTCGGCTCTGTGCTGTCTGAAGTCTGCCGCGAACCTAGTTAATTAATTCTTTCATCTTGAGTACTACCTCCGTACTCCCCATAGCCCGCTGATTGACCTCACCCCAACATATCGGGGTCCTACACTTCCTCCTGTAGAGCATCTCAAAATGAGGTTGATCAATGCTGACGTGATAACTGTTGTTATACGAAAATTCTGCCAAAGGAAGATACGTATCCCAACTACCACCAAAATCCAAAACACATGCTCGTAGCATGTCCTCCAAAGTCTGGATAATCTGCTCACTCTGACCATCAGTCTGCGAATGGAAAGCCGTGCTGAAGTGCAGAGGAGTACCTGACTCCTCGTGGAGTCTCTTCCAAAACCTGGAAGTAAACCGGACATCCCTATCAGATACCACAGAAACTGGCACCCCATGACGTGCCACCACCTCCCGAATGTAGATATCGGCCAGCTTCTCTGCCGAAATGCTCTCCTGGATCAGAATAAAATATGCACTCTTGGTCAATCGATCCGCAATAACCCATATCGAATCCACTGTGTGCGTCCTCCTAGGCAATTTGGTGATGAAATACATCGTGATCTCTTCCTATTTCCAAACGGGAACTTCTAACGGCTCCATTTTTCCATGGGGTCGCTGATGCATGGCCTTGAATTTCCTAAAAGTCAAGCACCTCTCCACATACCAGACCGCGTCTCGCTTCATACATGGCCACCAATAATCAGGCCGTAGATCTCTATACATCTTTGTTGGTCCAGGATGAATAAAGAATCTCGACTTGTGTGCCTCCTCCATCAATACCTGATGTGCACCGCCCCAATATGGAACCCACACTCTTTAATGAAGGGTCAATAATCCCCAGCTATCATAATCAAAGGAAGCCACCTGACCCACTATGCACTCACTCTTCCGGTGCGCTTCCTAGTTTTCAGTTCTGCAATAGACTAGCACTTTTCATGTGATCAGTTATCAGATTTGGTTTTCATTGTGTGCTTCTATCTAGTTGTCTTAGTTTTGAGCTTAATGAATGTTTGATTTTTGATTCTTTTAGCCTGACCACCTAGTTAGGGTTTAATCAATCTAGTTAATCAGTTATTAGAATCTGTAATTGTTCTTGTTAATTGATAATAAGTAACAAGTATCAGATTGGTTCCGTGTTGGGATTTAACTATGATATAAACTAAATTTCATACCTTTACGCTTCTGAGCTTATGAGAAGTATTGGGTATTGTTGGGAATCTTACAAAGATCTTAATGCAACTATTCTGATATTAATCAAAGGCTTGTTTAATTAGGCAATAAAAAGTTAGGGTTAACTGAAGAGATTTTTTTGATTATTTTAACTAGGTAAAAGAGGTTATACTAGAGCTTGTTAGTTTTTTTCAGTACCATCTTATATAGAACAAATTTTAAATAACCAGAGCTGAGCTGATTGCATGATTAGGAAAGTTACAGCAGACCTGAATTCGTTTTTATTACTAATTTCGTTTAGTTTATTTCGCTGCTATTTCTAGTTTTAGTTAATAAATCAACACCCCCTTTTTATTATTTTCTGTTAAATGATTAGTATGTGCCTTACGCAAAGAGACATTGACTATTAGGCTATGTCCCTGATGATTCGACCCCGCTTCCCTGTGTTATCCATTAGTGCAACCAACAATGAAAATATTATTTGCTTAAATCGTACGCGACAACGGTTTAACACTAGCATATCATAACACCTTTCCTAGGTCACTAGGAACTCCACCGCACCATGCTATCCCACTGGGAAAGAAACTTCTATCAATATTAACTAACTATCATAAAGATACTAACTACATGCAACTAGAATTAGGCGGTCCTTCGACTGAGAGATCCTGCACTACAAGTTAACGGTCAACCACAACCGACCGCTGCACCACGGCCAACTCCATGTCCGCACCGTGGTCACTAAAAGGTAAAACAATCGCGATTATCCATCGCAGCCCCTGCCACGACACTCTACAAACTGTGCCGCCAAAAACGTCCAAACAACTTAACTTATTAATCTCTTAATCTTTAAAGGTCAAGGCTCAAACTTTCCAAAACACTTCGAAATAGTGAATTAATGGATAAAGTTTCTAACTTTATCCATCTTCATGCTTCTTAACAACTTCCCACAAAACCCTAGATCTAAATGGGCTAAAATGATAACAAATCCTTGCATAGCTCAACTAACATGATAACAATTACTTCTTTCCACCACAAGGAGCTCATAGGATCATCAAATACAACCTTTGGGCTGGAGTTTTCCAAACTCTACCCAAATAATCATGAGAGGGATCAAAACAACTCATAAACATAGATATCTATACTAACCAAAACACATAAAGCATGCAGGAGCTTAATGACTTACCAAAGTTTAGGAGATCAGGAAATGTTGGAATAACCATGCATCAAGGATCTTTCTTATTCTTCTTCTTCAAGAATCATCCAAACCACCCACTTCAAGGAAAACTTGAGTTTTCTTTATTTTTTATAATATAATTAGTTAAAAATTTAAAAGAAACTAGAAAGAACATACTAATAGTTATTTCACATAGAGCAATGACAAAAATCTCAACAGAATCGAAATTTAGAGACCACACAGTTAAGAAAAAAAAAGTTGGATCGGTTGTGTAACAAACCATAGGGATCATCTCTATAATTTACTCTAAGATTTTTTTGTTAATCAAAATTAATGAAAATCTAATATAATGTAAATTTACTCTATGGTTGGTATTTACTATTTTGAAATAAAGCCTATATGATTAATGTTTGATAAGTCTATTATGATTAATATTTTTATGGTCGACGTCAACGGTCAACAAAAAGCTACGAAGCCATAAGCATAGACGTACGAGAGAAGATTTATGAAATGAAAAACGATATTGAATGGACCTCAAAGCATAATTGTATTATTTTAGTTTCTGATATGATGTAAATACGAATCATTATCGCGAATAAAACAAGATCAAATGGAAGGAGCACTTATGTTTCTTCCTCTTTATTTACTTTTCTTTCATAAAATCTACGCTGCTGAAGTCGATATCATTTCAGATTCACGGTTCTTGACAGATGGAGACACGTTGGTCTCAGCCACCGGAGTTTTCGAACTGGGATTTTTTAGGCCAGGTAGCTCTGAGAACAGATACCTTGGTATTTGGTACAAGAAAATCTCTCTCAAAACGGTGGTTTGGGTCGCAAATAGAAACGACCCGCTCGCCCCTGCATCATCAAATATGTTAAAGATCTCTGATACAGGAACTCTCGTCCTCTTCAACAATATCAGCGGTATAGTTTGGTCATCCAACACAACATCATCACAAAACGCAACTGCGAAGCTTCTCGACAATGGTAATCTGGTTGTCAATGAAAAAAACAGTGAAAACGTTATTTGGCAGAGTTTTGATCATCCAACTGATACTTATATACCCGGCATGAAGTATGGGAGAAATTTATTGACTGGTAAGGAATGGTCTCTATCGTCATGGAAGAGTACCCAAGATCCATCTCGAGGCGAATTTTCCTGGAGCCTTGACACAAGCATCTATCCTCAGAACCTACTAAAACAAGGTGAGGTGGTCAAGTTCCGTTGGCCACTGTCAAGTATACGGTTTGATAGGGATTCTTTATTAAACCGGAATATAAGTTTTACACAGAATAATGAAACAATCGTGGCTTTTAGTTATAATCTTGATAATAGTTCTGCAGTATGGAGGTTCACTTTGAATCCATTGGGGGAGGTAGAACGTTGGGTGTGGGTAGAAGATGATAAAAAATGGCAGCTACTCATGGTATTACCAAAAGATATATGTGATACATACAACATCTGTAATGGTTATGGAAGCTGCAGTGTTGCGACCTTCCAGACATGTGCTTGCTTGGATGAGACAAGATTTATGCCCAGAAACCAAAAGAGCTGGGAGATAGCAGTTTGGTCGGGTGGTTGTGTGAGGAGAACACCATTGGATAGCAAAAATGGAACAGATGGGTTTATCAAGTATTCTAATCTGAAATTGCCAGATGCACAAATTTCGTGGTTTAACAGGAGCATGAGCAGAAACGAATGTGAAGCAGAATGCTTAAAAAATTGTACTTGTATGGCTTATGCAAATACAGACATCAGATTTGAAGGAAGTGGCTGCTTACTTTGGTTCAATGAACTTTTGGACATGAGAGAGATACCTGAAAGCAATGGTGGTCAGGATATCTTTGTAAGAATTGCTTCCTCTGATTTAGGTAAGTAACTATTGCATCATCATCAACATCATCAAACCTAATATCCTATATGAAATGAGGTAAAAAATTTTCCATCTAAGAGTATCCATAAAGAATAGTTAAATGAAATGGTTGAATTGAATGAGATGTAGTTAACATACAATGAATTAAAGTAAACCATAATAGGATGTTACATTGACGTTCAAATGGATATGGAGTTCAATAGGAAAATATGGAATTTTAATTTTTAATATAAAATGATTAACAAATAAACGATTTTTTTTAAATATGTTCCAATAAACTTTTGTATGTTCTTTTATGAAAAAATGGCAAAGTTGTATGAAAAAGTGAAATGAAGATGTGGTAACCCATTAAATTTTAGAGTTCAAATGCATTGTAGATGCCTTAAAGTCCAATTAAATGTTTAATTAATGGATTTGTTTCTTTGTTGGTACTTGACATTAAATTAACATCTTTGCTATGCTATATCATACAGTTGTCGACAAGAAGGGTGGAGCAAACATTAAAATCATCTTAATTGTACTCTTTTTGGGGTGTCTTCTCCTAGGCTTCAGCGCTACATGGTTCTGGTTTGCAAGGACAAAAAGTAATGGTAGTGAACCAATTGAGGAAGGTAAGAAAATTAAGCAATATAACCGTTAAATTGCTGGCAATCTAATAAAAAGAACAGAAGTAGAGTAATATGTAACATGAATAGATACAACTTTTGATTAGATTCTCTAAAGTGTGAAGTCTGTTGTATTTCTATTGCATAGAAAAACTGTTGATTAATGTCTCTGAATTCCAAGAAGAAGACATGGAGCTACCACTGTTTAGCTTCTCTACAATAGCAAATGCCACTGCAAGATTTTCACCTGACAACAAACTTGGAGAGGGTGGATTTGGATCAGTTTATAAGGTAATAATGGTACTCGATATTTTGCAATTATATTGTATTTGAATCATATAATGTGGATTTTGCATTTTCATTCCTTACCTATAATAAGAAATAAACTATGCAGTGTATAAGCATGTCACTTATAAATAGAGATACAAATGTAAATCACCTTTGCATCTTTTATTGTTTTCACATTACAAAAGGTGTAACTAATCTTTAGGGTCTGCTAGAAGATGGACTGGAGATTGCGGTTAAGTGTCTCTCCAAGACTTCAAGTCAAGGACTTGATGAATTCAAAAATGAAGTCATCTGCATTTCAAAACTTCAGCACCGAAATCTTGTGAAACTCCTTGGTTGTTGCATACATGGAGATGAAAAGCTGTTGATCTATGAATACATGCCAAATGGAAGCTTAGACTCATTTCTTTTTGGTTAGAATAATACATGCATACTATATACTACATAATTTCCGGCATTGGATTCATTTAAGGAACTTAACCAACATTGTTGGACAGATAGAACGCAAAGCTTGCTCCTTGATTGGACAAAGCGGTTCAGCATTATCAAAGGAATTGCTCGAGGACTTCTTTACCTGCATCAAGATTCACGATTAAGAATCATCCACAGAGATCTTAAAGCCAGTAACATTCTACTTGATCTGGATATGAACCCTAAGATAGCAGACTTTGGCATGGCTAGAAGTTTTAGAGGAAACGAGACCCAAGCAAAAACAAAGAGAGTTGTTGGCACATAGTAAGTAATGGAACTTTGTACTCGTTCTATTTTTCTTGAATTCATTACTTAACCTAATCTCATAAGCATTATGATGCATGAATGCAGTGGTTACATGTCCCCCGAGTATGCACTGAATGGTCTTTTCTCAATAAAATCTGATGTATTTAGCTTTGGAGTTTTGGTGTTGGAGATTGTGAGTGGGAAGAGAAACTGGGGATTTATCCATCCTGAACATGATAATAATCTAATTGGACATGTAAGTTCAATAGACTGTAAGATTCGAACCTGAGTACACTCCATTTATGGAGTGTTTATACAATATGATCACCACTAGCCTATGATGCGTTTGCAAATAGTAATCTACTCTAGCCACTACTGCTAACTATTAATTACTAAATTATATTCAGGCATGGAGTCTATATAACGAAGGAAGGTCAATGGAACTGGTTGATGCAAGTTTAGCTGAATCCTGCCATCCATCTGAAGTTATAAGATCAATTAAAGTTGGGTTGTTATGTGTTCAACAAAATGCTGCAGATAGGCCAAACATGTCATCTGTAATTCTAATGTTGGGCGGTGAGGGTTCATTATCGCAACCTAAGCCACCAGCTTTTTTCTTGGGAAGGGAATTACTTGTAGCTTCTTTCCCTTCAAGAACTTATCCAGATGGTTCAATCAATAACTTAACTATTACGGAGGTAGATGGTAGATAGAAAAATCACAAGTGGATCCTGGTAGTGGTTGCTTTTTTCTTTAAAAAACAGTCAACAAACTGATTGATACGAGAGCTGAAGGTTCTGTTTTGGATCCGATTGTTTAAAAATCATGCATCCTATATGGTTGGAAAATTGTGAAAGTTCTGTTTTGGATCCGGTTGTTTAAAAATCATGCATCTTATATGGTTGGAAAAATATGAAAGTCCATTTACACAAAAAACCATGTGTAATGTGTTTGTTAATTAGACTTTTCTAAGTTCTAACATATAGTATGCTCATTTTTCTATCCATTATCCACTTGTTTGGTCCATCTAAATTTCAAATGTATTTTTTAGGGTTTCACAAGTCTTTTGAGATATCGTATGTATGTTAAACGAAGTCTTTAAAGTTGTAAAGATATTTATCGGAGTTTTTTGATATCATAAATAGTTTTGGGGAAAATGCTAAATGCCTATAATTTTCTATAAAAGTAGGTTAGTTGAAAAGTATTGATCCAAATAGGGGTGTTTGTTTGGATGGATCGGTTTGATCGTATCCAATCAAGTGAATCCAAATTGATTTCGGTTTTCAAAAGATGGATCCGAAGAGTTCAAACTAAATTCAAATCCGATCCGATCCGATCCAATTACAATTCGGTTGGATCGGTTTTTTAAAATTCGATTTTCAAAAACGTAAAATTTTAATACGACATATAATTATAATATTACCCAATTTTACAAAAGAAGTGAAAACAAATTATTTAGTTGTGATTTGAAATTTATAAACAACTACTAAGAAAGTATATTATAGTTAAATATTTTATAGATAGAAAACTTTTGATGAAAAAGACATATTAATGTTTTTTTATTGGGTGAAACGTTTTGAACCTATTTTAAAGGATAAATTTCAAAATTAATAAATAACAATAGATATATATATATTAAAAATAAATAAATAATAAATGTTTATTTGGTTTTTTTTGGACTATTCGATTCTTATTTTATAAACCAAAACCAATCCGAAATCCAAAATAATAATTCGGTTTTGTTGAAAACCAATCCAAAAATCCGAATATCCGAACCAGATAGTCCAATCCAAATTGTCCAATTGGACAATTCGGTTTTATCCAAATAGTGAACCGTCCTAGATCCAAATGTGTTAGTTTGAAATGTATTGATATAAATAAGTTAGTTTGAAAAGTATAGGCATAAATAGTTTGTTTTAAATGGGGCCCAATATCTTTTGACTTGGACTTAACATTTATATATTTTTATTTCTAATACTTAAATGTTATCCCTTCAATTTGTTTTTCTTATTAATATACATATGAAAAGCATAACATGCTTATGAATAGTAACTGTGGTTTCCGTTTTTTCTTGGATCATTGACTGGTTTTGAGACGATCGATGACTCAGCATAACATGCTTATGAATAGTAACTGTGGTTTCCAGTTTTTTTTGGATCATTGACTGGTTTTAAATGGGATAGGGATGTAAGTGACCATATCAGGCTCCTTGATGAGACAAAAAGCTGAGTTGGGCAATGTGGCTAAAGATATAAAATGGGTTCTCCGTGTGGGTGTTGTTCTTATTATGGACAAGTTGATTGAACACCCCGAGTTTGCCAATGGTGTTCATTAGATCCGTCATATTTGTTTTGTCGTTGGAGAAGAGTCTGTTCGTGCAGGTTTAAAAGCTCAGATTGATGTTGGAACTTACGATCCCAAGGGAAGTGATTCACACTCTAGCCATATTTGCGATATGGAACAAGACATCGTTGATTTTGTGACGTTGGATTGTGCATCGATGCTTAGTCTTGGTCGCCTTGATATTGTAGGCTTGAGGATGTGTACCTTCGACGCACAGGAGCCGGTAACTAATCAAGGTTGCCTTGAACTTCAATAAATATTATTACAAATTCAAAACAATCGTACATAATTAATCAATGTTGCATAATTTTGATTAAATTCTCAAATATTAAAACTAGAACGATAATATGCATATTTAGCCATTAAACTAGAACGATAATAATGACTATACAAATTTAGTCGTTTGATATACGGGTTGACCCATTCAACTGGACATGGATGTTTGCAATGAATCCACCGTGGCGTAATACGATGCATCGGGTACTCTCCTTCTAACTCTACCTTGACATATTGATTACCATAGAGGTGGCCAATTACAATAGCAATACGTTCATGAATTAATGGTGGAGTAGATAAATACCACCAAGATTGCATACAAGATTAACTTTTTTTTTTTCCCAGTATTTCAACTGGATATTTTTTTAAAAAAGGAAAATTAATTTTTATTGTATCAGTATTTGTACTGGATATTTTTTGTACTTTTATAAATACCACAACGATCGAATACAATATTAAATTTACTTAAGAGCCCACTTGCTCTTATCTTTCTCCTTCTTATGATAATAAGAAGGCGGCGTGGCAGCGGGAGGGGAAGTTGTGGTGCATGACCCCAAAAATCACAATAAATTAAATCTAAAATGTTATTACTTTGAAAAGATGAACCAGGTAATGAAAGTTTGGAAGATTTTCCTAATTGACAAGAAGAACATAAAGAGTAGTGGTGCATAATCTGGGTAGTGTGACCATGTCCCCCCTCAGGGCAACAGCTGGTGCAGAAGCTAGTCTGACCATGTCCCCCTCAGGGCAACAACTGGTGTGGAAGGCATTAGCAACATACGCTAACTACCTCCTGCTCACTATCGGGTCCTTTGCCCCATGATAATCTGGAGCTCCACATGCCCGAAACTTACTGAAGGTCAAAGAACGCGCCCCAACCAAGGCCACCATCTCTGCGCGAAAGGCGCTCAACCGCTCGTCCATAATCTCCAGAATACCCTCCTTGACCATGCCAAAGATCACAGGAGTATACTCAAGGATACTGCACGAAATCTCAGACGAGATGAACTCCCTCGTCTGGTCATCTAGCCACCCAACTCCAGATCCTGAGCCCAAGCCCTCTCCAGCACCGGAGCTGCCAACAGGTCTACCTCACAATGTTACCATACTGAAATAGACCATATAAACCATCAGAATATGCATCGAAATATATATCGCGGAATCATAAACTCCACAAGCTTCCTCGCAACCTTCCTCGAATCGTGTACGGATCCTCTGCTTCTAGTAGTACGGACCCATACTACCTTCCACATATATTCGTACTTTCATCAAGAATTTCCTTGACTCAACCAAGTTACTTTATATCCATACAACATTCCATCATCGATAAGGCTCCCAGCACTAGATCTCATCCTAGGTTTTCCTTGGGCAAACTCCATACCACTCTCCGCCATCAGCTGCAGAAGGAACTCCCTCGAACTCCCTCTAACTAGCTCACGAATACAGTTACATATCACTAAAACCAGATAATTCTTCGAATGAGAGGTCTCAAACTACAACGGTTGGACTCAAACAAGAGCTGCATAATAGAGTTAAACTTAACCTTCTAAAATTATTCAGTTCCCATAATATGTAACTTAGCATATTCGCGTACTAGTTAGCTGAAGCTAGATAGAACTCCTATAAGCACAAAGCAAGCATCATTCGAGCATCAAGTAACTAGAACCAAGCATAAACTAATCAGGCCATCCTATCACTGACTGAATAGTACTAGCATGCAAGTCTACAATCTCATACAATAGGCATACAAAGGCATCTCTCCTAGCATTCTATCATGCAAAAACTGAGCAGATTTGTAACATCCATAGAAATCATGACAAATTTAAACTTTTTAAAACATTTCAAAACCAATGATTATTATACAACTTGTTTCCAAAATAGTATAATGTCAGATCCCAGAATCAAATCATGAAAACATAAGGAGGTGTACGATCATGCCTTCGCCTTCCCACGATCATCATAAGTACCCGAAACAAAATCAACAACTGTAAGCCTGAAGCTTAGTGAGTTCCCCCAAAATACCAACTCCATATAATCATAATCATATCATATAAACAAACAACATGTATAATGAGCCTTCAGCCTGACTGGACCACCTCGCAGGGCCTTCAGCCTATCTGGACCGCTCCCGAGCCTTCGGCACGTCTGAACCGCCTCGCAGGGCCTACAGCCTATCCGGACCGCTCGCCGAGCCTTCGATATTACTGGACCGCCTCGCAGGGCCTACAGTCTATCTGGACCGCCCTCGGTATGTTGGCCTTCAGCACAAAGTAGGACTGCCTCAACCCAACCCCCAATTAACAATCATGTGCACATAAATATCATACGCTAGCATATATAACAGTCAAACCGATCTAACAAATCACTAATCATAACAACATCCTATAACCAGGATACAGATCTAACCGGTCACTAACATGGCATCATTCTATATACCAGGATACCGAGCTAACCAGGTCACTAAGCATATCGCCATCCTAACTACCAGGATGTAAATCAATAAGCATATCATGCAATAACCCGTATACAAATTTGAAAAAGGGTCGACATTGGTGCCTTAGACCCTGTTGATATAGTGAGAAGAACTCACCTCACAAGTAGTGCAGAACTGGACTGAAAGTCTCCGACCGATATCTCACCGAAAATCCCGAACTATCCAAAATAACGAATACTAAGTCAATACTGTGGCTACAGCCATGGCACAATATCATTCTTCTGATTCCACTGGAGGAGGAACCCCTGTTCAATCTACTCATGGTGAAGCTCCTGTGCGCTTGAGAGAGTGCTCCTATAAGGACTTCACTAACTGCAAGCCCAAGTCCTTTAGAGGGACTGGCGGAGTCATTGCCCTCTCGCAATGGTTTGAGAAGACCGAATCGGTTTTCGAAATCTGCTCTTGTCCAGAAGGGAGCAAGGTCAAGTTCGCTGCTTGCACCTTTGAGGAAAAAGCCCTGACATGGTGGAATAGCCATGTCAAGTCACTATCTCTAGTGGTGGCTAATGCTATGGGCTGGGAAGCTCTGAAAGAGCTGATGATCGAAGAGTACTGCCCGAGGGGCGAAATCCAAAAACTGGAGGAGGAACTGTGGAGCCTAACCATGAAGGGCTCCGACATAGTCTCCT